CCCCCCCCCCCCCCCCCCCCCCCCCCCCTCCCCTCCGTCTTACATGCTCAACTCCACTTCTTGGGAAAGAAAAATCAGCCCGGTTCCTCTTTCACCGGCAAGTCAATAGTAAGTACAACTAAGTACATATTGGACACACACACACACTCTTCCCCTTTAAGGTATTAAAGCTCGAGGGAGGGCATTGATTACTTCTCTCTCGAAGGATGTACCACTCCCCACTCCTCACCCCTGCCTCAGTTTGCCTGTTTTCTTTTAGGTTGAGTCTAAAACCTGGTAAGGTACTCAGAGGTGTGGGCCCTCTCGGCTTGCTTGGCTTGCGTCAGGGCTGCCTCGTCTAACCTGTTCTCTCTCAGTTCTCTGAGTGCCGGATTCTCATTCAGCACTGGAACTGTAGACTTGAGACCCCTCAAAGGGCTTGGATCCGCCGTAAGACCTTCTTGATAAGTAGCTAATGCAGACGGACGAGAATAAGCTCTAGCTTCTCGTTGTTATCCCTCTTCGTCTACCCGGTCTACCTGACTCTAAAGCCCAAACCCTCGCTAATTTAACTGGCCCGCTAATCTTTACTTCATAGCTTTTTAATGGTCTGTAACCCTTATCCTACTAGGTTGTCCTTGCGTTGACGGGCTCAAAGAGTCGTGTGTGAACTGTTTGGGGAGTAGGACTGGTGCTGTTTTGGCTGGTTGGCTCATCTCATCTTTATTCCGGGCCTGCGCTAACTTTTTGAGTGTGTCCCTCCTCAACGGTACGGGGTACTGCGGGCTCAACTGCCTGTAATTTGTTGTTTGTGTTTTTTCGAACTTCTGAACTGTGCACCCTGTGCATGAGGACAGCTGGCATCCAAAAAAAGATTATTAAAGTTCATTAAACTCTGTCTGTTTGGTTCTGTGCAGCTGCAGTTTTTTTACATACACCCAGTGACAAGTTTTTCTGCACTGTGGAGAGGAGGTGGTTGGTCATCAGAGTCTGCTGACGAAGCTTGGCGCATCTGATCCAGTCCGGGGTATGGTTTTGGCATGTTCCACATGCCATCAGGCGTCAGAATTTGTATTCATCACGGTGACTGAATGCGATGCCGATTGTAGAGAAGGAAGGATTCCCTAGGGTTCTCTTTTATATGAACCTGATCATATCATTGGAGTCTCCAATTCAAATATATAGATAAGAACTATTAAGAAGCAAGAAGTTATTATTAAAAAAATCCCTTAGCGCTCCGAAAACCCCCTTAAGTGCTTCGAAAACTTGCAGTCGGTCACTCGAGGGGTGAGATATACACCTCTACATCTCTGTGCATTGATTGGGCTCTTGGTGTTTTTTTTTTTTGTTTTTTTTTTTTTTTTTTTTTGGTGGGTGTGTGTGGGGGTTTGTGTGTGTGTGTGTGTGTGTGTGTGAGTGTGTGTGTGTGGGTTTTTTTTTTTTTTTTTTTTTTTTTTTTTTTTTTTTGGTGGGGTAGGGGAGGGGGGCCACTGTATGTTTCCAACTTCCCATGTTTTAACATGTGATTCATTCGCATTCTCCGAAAAGCAAAAGGTTCTTGGACCTCTTATGTTGAGTAATTTGTGCGCATTGTGCGGTTGAGTGAGTCTTGTAGTGGCGAGGAGTGATGGATCAGATAACCTATTGCTGCAAGAACCTGGTCAGGATATTGGTCATATGCATGGCCCTAATGGGTACGCTCCGCATGGTGGTGTGGTGAGTTTTGTCAGTACGCATTGATGCAAACTTGCAACGATTACCCCCAGCGGGACAACTGGTACTATGTCCCCATTGTCCCACATGGCATCAGGTGGGACGAGGTCCATGTGACACACCCAGAAGGCAGAGGGAGGAAGCCAGGAGGCGGCTTGACGAGGGTGTCCCATGCCTTGGTAGTCAGATGTGGCTTATGACCTTCATGGCTTTGGGATCATGTATTTACAATAATGCCCTTCGTGACGGCCTGGCCTGTCACATATATCCTCATGCCTCTGTGACAATGATGCCGGGCGGAGAAGAGAGACCTCCAGCTCGAAGTGGACAGTGATGATCGTGAAAGTTGGAGTGGCTTCTTTTTTTTTGAATTTTTTTCATTATTTTTTCGGCCCCAGGTAATTCAGAATGATTTCATTTTGGTCATCTGTTTGTTTGTGGGTCTGTATTTCAACAGTTCAGTCAAGGAGGGGGTGTAACCAACTGAGCTAGCAGGTTGGTAGTGGGGGGTAGCAATTTGTCTTCTGTACCTTGCCCGCTTTGGGATCAGGATTCAGGATTTATTAGGGTTTAAAGTTTAAAGATCCTTTAGCTTCCAGGTCCTCTTCGACGGTCAATTGGCCAGCATGTGTGTGCTCAAGAATGATGAAATGATTCGATCGGTTCATCCAGCGCAGCAGCGAAGTAGTACTAGTGAACACAGGAGGATGAATATCTTTCTACAAAGTTTCGAGTAGGAGGATGGAGCTGTCCAAGAGTTCAGTCCGCTCTGCTCGTATGGGCGGACCTAACCATCGACACTTACCGATTCAGTATTACATAAAGTTTTAACTCACTAATCTACACTGCAGCTCAGCATGACCCGAACTCGATCGGTCACTAATCCATCAATCCATCGCTTTTAAGACCGACTACACGAGAGCAATCCATCACTAGCCGAGGCGATTGGCTGGTTTCCTTAGCAACATACCCTATATTATATGGGCAGAGTCTCTTCAGCTGAAGCTCTCCTCATCCTGCGTTCCAGTTCCACCGCTCCCACCGGTCCCACCGATCTCATGGTCCCTTAGGATCCAGTTCAAGCGGCACCAGGTCCAACTAGGTTCCAGTTGAAGGGCTCCACCTGGTCCATATATAGGTTCCCGGTCCAATGGTCTCAGGTGCACTTTTGTTCGAGGTCCACTTAGGTTCCAGGTCCACTTAGGTTCCAGGTCCAACGCCCTCAGGTCCACTTAGGTTTCAGATCGAAACGGTCCCACCTCCACTTGGGGTTCCAGTGTCAACAGTCCCACCAAGTCCCACTTGGGTCCGAGTCACAGCGGCCATCACGCAATGGCGGCTCGGCCATTGCCAGTGCTTCGCTATGGTCAGCTTAACATGCAGGGGGTACAGGTAGATAGAGTGCACCATAATCCACTTCACAGACCGTCCGGCAGCATGAGCGACACGTGCCTTTCCAGCAGTGACGATGAGTCCGATGATTCGTTTGTATCTTTCCATACTTCGCCGTCTCCGCTCTCTTGCCGCCGCAGTATCTATGGGGCACCACTCTCCTCTTACAAGAGCTCATGTGAGGCAGAGCTCGGCTGGCCAGGATTGTTCATGGGCGGCGGGTTGCTGCTCACGCCGAGCAGAGGTTTTGACGCCGACAGCGACTGTTTCTTGAGCGCTGACGGCGGCACTATCTCCCCGTTCACTGGCGTACATCATGGAGCTGGCACTCTGTCTAGGTTCAGGTCCCCTCAATCCATGGGGGCATCGCCACTGCCTAGTTCGAAGCATCCACTGCCTCTGAAAACAGCTTGCGCTCTGTCGAGGAATGCGCAGGCCATCGACGATGAGATGGTTGAAGACAACAACCCTGTTGATGTCAGTGAAATGAGAGATGGTTGGGACAGCACGGAAGTAAGTACCAGCAGCTGTGAGTCCTTTGTGAGTCAGCAAGCCGCAGCTGTTCATCCTTGTGACCTGAACCCCCTTCACTGTTATCATGATAGTACAATGTGTCGGGAGACGAAGAGGCTCAGCGGCGCAGACGATGCAGAGGTAAGCAGCAGTGCTGCTGCTGCTGTGATGCAAGCTCTGCAGACATCCATCCACCAGCCCCCCACCATCATGGGAAATGGACGAGGAGAGGACTACGACACAGCAGACGAGGACGTTGAAGTTGAATTGCGCCCGTGGTCTCCATTCGCCGAGAGTATCCGCCGACTCTCATTCTCGTCAGATTTGCTCAGTAATTATCTGGAAAAGCTATGGAAAGATGACGTGGACGTTGATGCGGCACCTGCACCAGCTTGGTCTTCCATCTCAAATCGGTGAGTATATGGCTGTTTGCATTACAGACCTCGCCTCTAGCTCCACACCCCGACCCACTTTCCAAAAGTAGAGTGCAAAGGAGTCTGCATCTCGATCACCATGGCGCTGGGTTGCTACAGGAAACTATAACGTCCAAACGTAAAACAGTTTACCTGTTTTTTTTTTTTTTCTCAATTAAGAGAGGGGGGGCGAAAACAAGCCAAGAAAAAAAAGTATCCCTCCCGTTAATAAGCAGTGCATCAAAAGCTTGCAACTTTGGAACTCGCAGCTTGAAAGCCTTGAATGGAAAAGAAATGGGGAGGAGGGGCGAGGAAGGGGAGAGAGAGAGAG